CCGCATACATGCTAATTGCAAAAACCATAAACATTACATTACATTTATGACAAAATAACCAACCACACGTGGTGCCAAATAACGCAAAACCACAGATTGGCGAAATGACGAACATTTATCTTTTTTGTCAAATATATTGTTTGTCAATTGAGCAAATACTTTGTAGATCAAACTAACCACACTTGTTGATTATTTGTCAAATATGTCAAAAATGCAAATGCGAACGGCCAAGTGAAGTGCCGCCATTAGACTTAATATTTGTAATCTGTGCAGTGCATAGTAATAGTACCAGTGCTGTCATATCTACCAACTTTTTGGTAGATCTACCAATTTTCACTTCAGTCTACCTATTTACCACCTAAAAACTACCTATTTTTTGAATTAGTTTGACATATTATATACATATATACCTTGAATTATTTTTATATCGACGAGCGACGTTGCGATGTGTTGCGTGAGCCATGCGACGATGCGTCAGGCATACATAGAGTCCAGGCCTTAAACCACAAAAAAAAACGTCAGCAACAGTTCGCCCATGGAGGTTAGAGATAAGGAGAACGTTCGTTGTAGAAAATAGTGTCCCAGAAATATGGACAAAATAGGTGAGGCGCTGCGTTCGAAAAAAAATTGTACAATATTCAACTAACTTCATCTACTTGTACTCATAAATAACTTCACAGATACTACTTACTGACGGCAGCGCGGCTGGTGGCTGAAAAATAAACTAGAAATTCTACAAATCTAGTACGTAGCGATCGTTCTCCTTTTCTCCAACCTCCATGATTTCGCCCAAATTGAGGTGGTAGATCTACCAATTTTGCATTTTACATTCTACCAACTTCTACCAACATTAGGCCCACAATCTACTAATTTTCTAAAATTTGGGTTGGCAGCACTGAATAGAACCTTCTTTTTATTTTAAGGCGGATGACGTTCGTTTTTGTTTCGTAGTCGTTGGTCCGGATTTGTGTTACAGAGCTTTTGCGGGCTTTTTCTTTTAGATTTTGTATTTATAAGAATTAATAAAATATGCCACGGAAACCTTGTTATTGGACACGCAAATTAGAACTTGATCTTGTTGATTTTGTTCGCGAAAGAGATTTTATTTGGAAACCATACGGCAACACGAATCACCACATTCAACAAAAATATAAGGCATACGCAGAATTTGCGGCTAAACTAGGACGTGGTTTTACAGGTAATTTTCAAATTAATACCTTTTGTTAAAATCTTCAGTAAATAAATAGAGACAGAGACTTACATAATAGAGACTTTTAAGCGGTGCAAAGTCGCCACAGAGTTTTTGTCAACACAGTATGAATAACATTTATTCCAGTTCCTGTATAAATTAAATTAATGCCATTTTGTTATTGTTCTCGTTCACATGCAACATACAGGATTAAATGGTATTATGATGATTACAGCACGGTCAGTTAGAGATCGATGGGTGAACATCAGGAGTACTTTTAATCATAATCTCCGAAGGGTTGATAAGTCTAAAGAGATGGCGAATACGCCAGCAGATGTGTATGTGCCTTGCTGGCCTCTCTGGAAACCCCTGCAGTTCTTGAAAGATGTGCAAAGGAAGGACGAAATTCTTAATTTTAAGGTAAATATACTTTGTTTCTTCCTTATGGCATGTTCTGGGGTACCTTCATTTGCATTTTAAATAAGTTTTAGAAAAATATTTTCACCAGTAAAATATATGAGTCCGTTTAGCCTAAAAGTAAAATAAAAGCTATTTGTTTAATATTTCCATATGTAACTTTATTCCATGCATAGGTTGTTTGAATGTGCCTTTCATAGTCATTTAGAAGTATTTTATATTATATAAAATTTGTTAAATTATTACCTACTGATTATATTAAACATTTTATTACAATAATACAATGTCCTTAGAAGTTACAAAAAAGCTAACTTCTCATTTGCCTGCCCTAAGGATAAATAGGTTGCTCCTCACTAAAGCACTTGACATTTTAGTACAAAAGCAAAGTCAAATTTCTGCACCAGTGAAGTCATCTGATACACCCATAGTTGTCCATTTGACAGGCATGTGATTGGTCATTTATACACTAGATCTAATGCTCATGACATTTATTTTTAGGGGTTTCCAGTACATGCTGATTACAGTGAAAATCACCTACAGCCTAAAATTGAACAAAACAATTGCTTAGAGTATGATGACAATGAAGCGTTAAGAATAAGACAACGAGGTCAAAGAACGGACAGGCCACGTCGCAAAACGTCCAGTGTGTTGAGAAAATCTAGAGAACAATGCATGGCAGTCATCGAGGATCTATTGACAGCTATGAAACCTATTAACAATATGAATTCGGATCAAACTGATTCATATTGGTTTTTCGGTAGACATGTCACTGAGAGATTAAATTGTATGAGAGAGGAAGATGCAGAATCTGCATGCGAAGAGATCATGAAACTGCTCAATAATTGTCAGGCAGATGGATACACAAAGGATTTATTCCATAATGTGACTTGATGTCACTAAAACAGTATTGTTTTTTTGTGTAAAAATGCAGTTTCTCTTGCAGCAATATAGAATATTACTGCGGTTCAAATGTTTCAGCGGTTGTCATTGTTTGACTGATTGATAATGGTTGTTGCATTTCTAGTTATCCTAGTAAATTGTGGGATTTGTAAAGAAGTACAATACTAAAAATGTGCCAACTATTACTTGTGCGAATAGTATTTTATATGAAATTAAAACTGTTCAGCAATTCAAGTTGAAATGTGATGCTACTTGTACATATAGGATTAGATTAAATATATTTAAAAAAAATATCTTTGGGAGAAAGATCTTTGTATGGATTTGAGCAAAGGGTTGATTGTCGGTTTTGTGTGATAATTGATGAATCAAACCAAGTCAATAAGAATGTTGCTTCTTAGCGACATTTGATAAACATTTGTGTGAAACAAACTGAGGCCCTGAGTTTGATGTTCTGGACTCTCGTTGATTGTGTTAATTTTGTTTATGTTGCTCATCTCACTTTCATTTGAAATGTATATTGCAATTAGTTTCCTACTAAATGCTCATCCCTTTTTTCAGCAAATAATTGTATTCTCTAAAAGCTTGGGACAGTATGTTTTAACAAAACAAGAATTACAGTAGAATGTTTATTATCTGAACCAATTTGGGGAATTGGGTATTCGGAAAATCGGTATTTTCGGATAATCAAACTGTTTTGATTCAGCCAAACATATTTACGTACAGGTGAATGAAAACCATATTTACATTTATATCGTAAATGTAGGAACAGAAAAAAAGAGCAAACAATCCTGTAAAAAATCATGCACTTGGTGCAATTAATGCTCAGTGCATCTTCTTCTGCCGAAGCAAGCCAACCCGTCTTATGAGCGGCTAGGTCACATACTTTTTTAAGAGCAGATATTTACTACTGGTCGCTTTCAGCTTGTAGTTCAGACCAACGCAAGGCAATATTATAGTAAGTAAACGTTTCAGAAGCACCAATTATGTTTCCTCTTCATTATCTGAACTTGTTGACGAGGTGCTTAGCAGTGGATTCAGCCTTTTTAGTCATGAGGTCTAATATTTCGCTATCCTACATAATTCGGTATCCGGAGTCTTAATCGGCGATATCTATGTAATGTTTAACCTCTTCTTCATCACCTTCTCATTCACAATTTCAGACAATATAAATCTTCCTGGTACTTATTTACACATCCACTTTGAGGATTTTTCACTATATTTAAACCTACAATACATTATTCCACGTTATTTTCAAGTTCTGCTCTTTTACACTGTGCCATGCAGCACTTCCAGGACGCGGTTTTCAAATAAATCTTTTTATGATTTCTCATCAGGCTTTTTTCTCACCTGTCTTCTTTTTTCAATAATAATTATCGTAACAATTCTTTTCTATAAAACCATTTAAAACTCTCAGTAACACCTTAATCCATGGGCTGTAATAATCAATTCACGTTGGGTGGAAGAACATGTCTTTTAATCCATTTTAGATGTACATGATGGATGTGTAGGTTCGTTATCAAAAAACAAATAAGTTTTCTGTTTTACCATTTTTTAAATTTACAGAGCGTGTAAAAAAAATCTATAAACCATTCCATGAAAATTGTACCATCCGTACAAGCACTCTTGTAAATTGTAAACGATAAACATCTTGATTTCTTGCTGATACAAGCATGGGCAATAAGTGGTTGCCAGAAGCATTAGCCCACGCTAAGACACTGATACGTACGATCCTTGTTTATTTTTGGGATGTTGCAAATTCATGACGTTAATAGTTAGGGAGGTGGCGAGAATTTCGGTATATGATTTGCACACGTTTCACATCGAGGTAGATTGCAGTTTACGTCGGTACGAATCAATTTGGTCCAGTCAATAATGATCCTACGTCGCTGCGTTTTCGCGTTACAGCCGATTAAAGTTGTTAAAAAAAAAGGGGGTATCAAATTATTTGCACATGTCTGCCTCTGGGGTTCATGGTCACAAATATCTTGGAAACGAAGAAAATCGAGGAGGCAGACATTCAGGGCTCTGCATTATCATGGGACGGAGTTGTAAAAGTGTTTGAAAAAAAAAACTCTATTAAGTCATTTGCACACGGTTCTCATTGCGCCCATTCGATTCATTACGACTCCGTGGATACGAAACTTTTGGCAGACACTTTGCTCACTGATATTTAACTTTATAACGGTTTGAAATGGACGTAATCAAGGGGAAGCGGGTATTGCATGTTATTATTGTGATTCTTTATAGGTTTATTATTATTATTTTGTTTGTTGTTATTCGCTGAACTCACCGTAACACTCCAACTTCTTCTAGAGCTGAAATCTACGAAATTATTTGTTTTAAATGCCAAGAGGAAACGAAATGCGCTCGAAACTTTAATTGGAGAGTGAATTTTTTCAATTGTAGTTTTTATTTGTATAAAATACATAGATTTTTAACTTCGGCTCTATTTTCTTCTTTTTACAATAGAAAAGTTCACCAAAAGCGATAATATTTAAAAACCGTCGTCATCACTGGCATCCGAGAAGCCTTGCCGATCGTTCATGTCGGCGCTTTCATCCATGTCTCCTTCCTCATCTGAAAAATACACAACGTGTTAAAATTTTTATGGCACGAAATTTACATGATACACCTAAATGAAAAAATTATTACCTGATTTGTGTTCAGGATCTTCAACTTCTAAGATGACGTCGCTGTAGAACTGGGGCAGTTGTTCTCCTTTGAACCATTTGAATGTCAGCCTTCCATCTTTTTCTTCCCAGCCACAATCATTCGGATCCAAATCATCAGCAGGATTTTTTTGTGGGCATTCTTCCAAATTTTCGTGATGTAGTGTCCTTAGAAAGTGTTCCGTCAATTCAGTTTGACACGGTGGCAAATTGGAAGCGTCGAAATTGTAGGGAGACAGTTTGAAAGACGCGGCGGCGTTTAGAGACGTCGTATGTTTTTAAGGAAATTTCGTATCGTCCCTCGTTTACTTTTTTTGTTTTTTTCACGTTGTATAAACGACACACGAATTCCTCTAATACGCTGATAACGCTCTCACAAGCGTCGAAATCGATATTCCCAATGGCGATCAGAGCTATTTGCAATTCCTCGGACTGTAATAAGCGTTCGAAAGGTCTTTTTTTACCCTTTCGGAAAAATGCGGGATTATAATCACAGCCGGTGATTGCGTGAAAACCATGTAGTGAATTACACACCAAAGGTCCCATCTTTGTATATATTTTGGAAACATTAATATACCGACGGGTATTGCCAGTACCAAAATCGATCCAAATATTGTGGGAGCTTTGCAGAAATTCCATATTTCCGAGCATGATTATCAAGACGTCAGTATCAGCGCAGCGTATTACGATATTCGCGCGTCTTTGAATTTGGCAAACGTGATAAATTATTTTGGTGTCCGCTTCTTCGTGTATTTCATAAGAAAAATTTTCATTAATTGTGCGAATTACATGCTCATTTTCAATACGGAATTCGCATTTGATTAACGGTTTTGTTTCCAAAAAATGGTGCCATTTCAGGATTCGCCAAATGTCGAATGAAAAAATTCACCAATGCCTCTTTGAAGTTCATGTTTTTCATCTCTTTTGCGAAATCGGCGGGTCGTACTTGCTGGGGTCCTGAAATTTGATAGTTGTTCTGCGTCCTTCCGCGAAGAATGCGTTCTGAATCTTTGATCGAAGGCGTGAAATATCTATCAAAAATTAGATCGATTCTTTCAGCATCTCTTTGGCATATGGAATGTAAAATTTTTTTTGATAAATCACCGAATGTCCGAGGAAGTTCTTTTAGTGAATTGATGAGGAAAAATCCATCGATAATTATGATGTCGACGTTTTTTGGGTCTTCGGAAATTACTTTGGACTCTAGGATTTTTAGTAATTGTGATTTATCGGTCTTACAGATTGTTCCATCCATATGAGAAAGCGATAAAGGCGCAGGTGTTATTGTATAGCACAGCACCTTTTCAATAGCAATGTTGTTCTTCATTGACAATGCCAGCAAACGTCCGAATAAGTCTCTTTGCAGCCGTACTTCCTTCACTTTATCCGCAACGACAATTCTTTGTTTTTTTACGGCCTTGGCGAAGGTATGAACTTTATTTTTTTTTATAGGTAGTTCGTACTTTTTCGGATCTTCTGTACATTCGGAGAGGAAGGTTTCACGGGCAACGTTTCCGTTTTTTTTCAACATTTAAAAGAAAATCTTCAATTTCACGTGTCGCAACTTCACCGTTCGTCATGTTAAATAATTTGGCCTTGTCCATTGTTGGGTCAAACGGATTCATATATTCGTCGACGGATGTCATGAAATTGGACAAACTCTCTTCATTTTTCTTCATGACGCTTTTTTTCAACTCCGATACTACATCGTCGTTCTTTTTCAATCCAGCTTCATGAAAAATGTGGGAAATAATGGTCGTTCGGAGTCCATGGCTTTTTGCCCATCTCTGTCGAGGAGAAATAGAGTTCGTCATTGTTGTTACACTCCTAGCTGCATCTGCGTTGATTGTCTGCTCGAGTGTCAAGTCAATGGGAATTCGATTAAATGTTTTGTTTGTTCTTTTGACACCTAAACAACCTTTCTCTAACTCTTCTTTTAATCCAGGATGCGTATTTTCCACATTCAATAGCTTGTCACGATACAGCACCATTGCTCGAGAATAATTAGGCTGATTGAAGATTAAAAATAAATTCGTCAATTTCGGTAAAATGTACAAAAACATTTCAAAATTTGACGTACGGATACTCCTTTCCAAAGTCAGATAATAATCTATAAAATTTACATACATCATGAAAAACTGAGCTGTTTTACCATGGTCGCCTTGAAGGGTTTTTTCCCTGTAGCTTTCGTAATTTTCTAGCAACTGGCGCAGCTGCTCGTCTTCAACCTTGGGACTCAAGGATTTTGATTTTTTAAAGTTATCAATTGTTTCTTTAAGGTTGTCGTCAATCGTTATTTCGTTTTAGCTCAAAAATGTTTTGAAGTGAATAATCTGCAAGCCTAATGATGCAATGGGATGTTGTCTCTTGCACCTGTTGAAATTAGTACCCGATAGAAATCCGTTTATTGAACCACCGGCAATCATTCCACTGTTTTCCATGACGTTTGTTAGTCCGCTGTTCTCTATGAATTTGCCGACGGCCTTGAAAAACGCCATCGTCACATGAAACATCCCAAGGTGTACAAATATCCTGTCAAAAGTCGATTTTTCGGTAGACTGAATTGCAAAAGCAACTTTAGTTACTTGTAAATCGTAGGAGACCTGTATGTATTCTGCTCCACATTCTGCAGCGATCGTTTTACTCACGCACAAAGTTTCTTTTACAACTGCAGTATCTGTAGGAGATACGTTGATAGCAGTTAAGTATGCTACTTTCTGCATTGGAGATATATCTTCGAAAATAAGAGAATTGAACCCGACCCACATTGGCGTAGGGGTAACTCCAAAAGCATGTGATAACATCCACGCGTGGTTTAAATACTTATACTCTTTAACATCCTCGGGTACGTGCAATCGCGTTTCTGCTACCGACGTTTGAAACTGCTCGATCATTTTTGGCTTTTTACCATAAGGCGCGATTTCGGGTAGTATAGCATCGAACGTTCTCCTCTTTCTTTTCCTCGAAGATTCGCCCAAAACGGGATCAACTCTCGTCAAATCGATGCTGGTGTGAGCATCTGCTGTTGTTGATGTTTCTTCCTCAGAGTTGTCAATGTTCTGATAGATAATACCCACGGTATCATGGAGGGTATCTTTTCCCGTGAGCGTCTCAACGAATCGGTCGTAGTTGTCGAAAGCAACTCCTGTGCTGAGATTGGGTTTTTTTTTTAATTTCCGCAGGACAAACTTCATCTCGATTCGTTAACGACAGCGTTGCCTCAGTTTCCAGTTCGAGGAGTGTAGTATAGCTGACGCAGTGCCCGAATCGATTTAACAAATCGACGATTTTCTTACTGTTTGTTAGACTCTTTATTGCAATGCCCAGACACACGTGTTTTGACGTTTTTATATTACCATTCGTGGTGGCGTACACGATGTCCTGGGCAATCGAAGAGATCACATTTTTTTTCGAATGCTGCGCTTTTCGAAGAGTGCTGTCGCCACAAATAATTGTTTGAAGCAAATCATTAAGAGAATCCGGGAGAGCTTCGCATTCGCTTTCGATGAAATTTTGTGCAGATAATGTCTGCGGATAATCTTTTTTCTTGATTTTCAAAATTGCAGATCGTATAGCATTCGCAACTTTGTATACAATTTCTTTACTTTCTATTTGATCCAAAATGTCAACATTCGGTGGAAGACTACATTCAAACGGCGCTAAAACTTTTTTATTTTTGACCGTCAAAAATCTAACTTTGCCGTTGAAAGTATTTAAAAAAAATTCCGGCAAATGCTGCGTTGAAAAGAAATTCGGACGGTAGGTCATCCGGTAAGCTCAAATATTTTTCATTGAAGTATTCTATGTACAGATCGGATGTAGTTATATAAAAAAAATCCTTTTTTTTATAATGTGCAACGAAATGTAGGTGCACAATTGTTCGAAAGCACCGGAATGATAATCGCGCTTGTTATGCCAAGCTTTTGGCGATTTTTTATTATTTTTTATCCGTCTGGATTTTGTGAAATATTCTATTTTACAAAACTGATGATAGCCCACAGTTTCAGAAGCAGCTGCTATTTTATCTAACATTGCGCTATCATCGATCTCTGTCGCTTTATCTTTTACCGTTTCCAGCCAACGTTGTGCATTCGATACTTTGGGCAATTGTATCCGCCCTCGCACCGTTTTCCTCCGTTTTCCACAAAAAAAAAACAACCTTCCTCTTCGTTGCCATCATCATCTCGTTCTTCAGTTGTTTCTTGTTCGCGTGCAGTATCATCTTGTTCTCCATTTGTGTCTGAATTTTGTACGCTAAAAAAAAGTTTGAAACATTGCCAATTCAGACGATACGTAATGTTTATTTCGTATTGTTGCGGGTAGGAAATATTTACTTTTAGGGAAAAAACCAGATTTCTTCGACTTATTTATTTAATAACTTTTCGGAGCACAATGTAATCGCTGGACGCGCGGTGCAGTAAGAGAAAGGGCGCATGCCCGAGATCCATAAACAATGTTTTATGTTAATATCTAATCTTTTTGGTGGCGATGCCAACATGCTGCGCCTCACAACAAACTTATTAAACATTAAAGTTATACAAATAAATCAATATATTCCAAATGGAGATCAATATTCTTAATTAAAATAATCGCTATTCAAAGTTAAAATAAAAGTGCATGCCTCTACTCCCTTTTGTTTATAACAACCTTAAAAATTACAATGTAACAACTTGTTCAATTACTTAAAATTATTTTCTATAGGGAGTAAACATATTCCAGATAATGAACGCTTATAAATCTTTTTGTTTGGTGTAATAACCTCCACAACGCGTACCTTGCCATCATTGCCTGGATATACCTTGATAATTCTTGCCATTGGCCAGCATAAAGGAGGGACATTAGGTTCCCTTAGTATTACTAATGCTTCAACAGTAACGTTAGGGAGATTATCACGCCACTTAGGACGAC